GTCTTTTCGTTTTTTCTACTTCAGTGAGGTAGCCAGCTAATTTCAAATGCATTTTATGCATTTTGCATTTCTACCTCTTCAGAAAAATTTCTTATTGTGCTCCAATGCATGCGTCAGCGATACTCATCTCACGCTCATATGATAATTAAGTGGCCACAATATACCTACCCCAAACTAGCCAACATATGCCCTCTACAAATGCTGGCACATATGTATGACACTTGCAGAATATAGCCATGTGTCCTTTTATCCACTCAGGAAATGTCGCTCTGCTACATACGTGGCTTCTTATAACAGCACGCTCCGCTTGATGCACAACGCTTTGTGGCACCATTTGCACTTCTATTTTATGTGTCGCTTATAATTTCTAATTATACCCATGTCCTATTTTATATGGTGCTATGGTTGAGAATCACGTTTGCGATTGAGGGAAATAAAAAAGTTGCTGGAGATCGTATTCTGGGAGCGAGAACAGTGCATAMAATTGCGCTCTGCCTGATTAGGTTAGGTTGGGTTCTTCGTAGGGTTGAACCAAAATCGTTGGATCTCAGATTTTCGGCCTTTGTTTTACATATAAAATTYTAAAAGTGAATCCCACAAATGAATCCTAGTCACTTCGCCAGGTGCACTGAAGATACGTTTACACAGATATTTTAATTATAGTCTGACAAAAGCTATTTAGCTTGTGAATCTATTGGACAGTTTTCAGTCCAAYTAGCAAGTAGTTCGGTGGATCTTACATGGTTCACTCTCATCTCGATTCAAATCGAAGGAAATTAGGGTTAGGACGTTTTCCTCTGCTCCCCCGGCGGGTACTGCGTCGAAAACTTTCAGAGCTGGAGTGTTTTCGTCCGTTCGGACGACATGTCTTAGCCAGCGTAGCCTCTGTCTTTTAATTCGCTTAACTATGATCTCATACGCGCAAAGGTCCGTAAATCTTTCATTTTTTTTTTTTTTTTTTTTTTTTGGCTAACGTTGCTGCTTCAGAAATTATCTACGACTCCGAAGTTATGACTGTCAGCAGTGACGTCGGAGTCAGTCGCGAGTGTGACGACTGTTTGTTTCCCTTTTAACTTTAAACCATCTGCGATAAACTCACGACACCTCTTCTCCAACAGTTTCGCTCTRCCCACAAAATTCTTGTAGCTGTATGAGCCGCAGGGAAACCGTCAGGATTCAGAACATTTTGCTGTGAATTGATCGAGATTGTTAGGAATGTAATTGAAAAAGCCGAGAATCTCATTGTGTTCTTGTCAGGCACTCTTCATATCTGTAGCTTTTAATCTCTTCCCCTAGCAAAGTCTATTGGTGTAAGGTGTAGAATACCATTGAGTGCCTTTGTTTATGTGTACTGTCCTCTGCGTCATTAAGACATMATCAAAACTTGAGTTTATATTGAATTTTATCCCTCTCCAAAATGACTTCACCAGACTTTAGGCCGTCCTTACTAGTTTGTATTTTAMCCATTTGCAGACTTGCTTTCGGTCAAAAGAAATACACACACATATATAATTCTAAGTATGCATTWTAATCTCATAATATAMAACATTTGAAAAAGCTACTTTAAMCAAATGGAATAAAAATATGTTATACAAACAACTTCGTTGAATACACTCTCACCTGCACACTCACTCGCCAGCGTAAACACCGTTTCTCTTTCTGTAAATAATTTTATTTCTCTTTTTTACATTTATGGTCACATTAATGACACTTCTATGGCCACTTGTAAGTTTTTTGTTTTGCTTGTCGTTTTCATTTCAACGTATACACATACGTACGAGGGCGGTCYAATAAGCATATAGCTTACAAAAAACGAAAAAACTGTCGAAGTGTCAATTGATTGCACATGATTTTCGAAGATATCTACTCCAGATATACTACTCCATTTCAAACTGCAACTTTCTGCAATTAGACTTCGAATCGGTCAATAGATCAGCATTATAGAGTCTTGTGACCATTCTGCTTTATAAGYTTCACCAAGTAGTCGATGTATGTACTTAACAACTTATGAAAGCCAAACACCGATTGACATATCCATTCCGGCCAATAGGACAGAATCAGTTCAATGCGGTGAACTCCACTGTTTCGATTTCTGGTCTCTGGTATATATAATAATAATGAATTCATAATTCGACAGTGCCATGAGAAGCTGGCTTGCGAAGCGTTCAGCGTTCAGCGTTTTTTTTTTTTTTTTTTTTTTTTTTTTTTTTTTTTTTTTTTTTTTTTTTTTTTTTTTTTTGTTTTTTTTAGTAGTGCCGTGTTCTTACGGTGAGGCTAAGTACATATACTTAGGACCTTCCTCGTAAATATTTATTTTCAAACGTTTGTGCCAGCAAAGCAAACCGCCTGGCCTCTTAAGTCCAGAGGCTCGAGGTTTGCCATTCTAAAGTGTACACATAAGGGGCTTGGGTAATATTTGCATTATACTTTACCTAGTTAACGTCCAAAGGGCTCTCACAAAGAGTGCAGTAGGCAAGCAGACGTTTATTGTGGATACAAAAATTTTACAAATTAAAGTTTCATTAGCTAGAAGAGTAGGAGACTTATTTTTATAAAGTAAAAAGGGTGAACTTTTTCGAACAATATTTCGTTAGAGGTCCGCAATAGGCTGAGGAAGTAAAGCAATGACGGTGGCGGTTTCGATGCTTATTGTTAAAGGAACATCGCGCAATCCAAGCAAAAAATATTTGAATTTTAATACCAGCAATGCCTTATAAGCTGTAGGCAGATGCTCGGCACAACCTGGTGGTTCTCTCCCTCCCTCATGTACTGGTGTTACATAGCTGTAGTTAGACCAATTCTGCTCTACAGTGCAGTAGTATGGAAATTCACTTACCCGAAACCAATGGGAAAGTTTCAGATGTTCACTTTCATGTGTATAACGAGATCTTTAAGAAGAACTCGAACGGTCGCTCTTAAACTGGCACTAAACCTACCACCTGTAGACTTCTTTGCTGAGGACTGCACTGAAAAATCGGTGGAACGACTACTGGCTGCAGGAGACTTTACWAATAGAACCTTTAGGAAAAGCGCGGTGTGTAATAGCGGTTGGGCAAAAACCCATTACATGACCCCACTTTTCAACTGTGATAGAAATTTCAAATATTCAAAAATGAACGATAGAGTTGGTGCGGAAATATACTGCCCAAAGTTACGCATAAGACAACCGTTTATTGTTATTGCGAAAGCAGCAGAGCTTCAACGCAGCTGCAGGCAATTCCATAGGCACCATCTACATAGACAACCATATCTCATATCCTTGTATCGCGTATCACCCAGAAGTAGCTTTGGAACTGTCGCCCAGTGGAAAGTGTTGCCAGTAGCAAGCAACTTCACTTCTACTGCATGCCAGCGTAGAAATGCATCGAATGCAGTAAAATATTAAACGAAATGGGCAAGAATATATGGCTAACATCCTTAAACGTGAGACATTGGGAAACTTATGCATTGTCTATACGACGATCTTGACAGAAGTATGGAAAAAAAAATCAAAATATAACCTGGGTGCTAAACTGTAAAACACATGTGCGAAACGGTAGATAATACACAAAATACCCATCCGATAGAAGAGACTGTAGGAAAATGATCGGAATACTAACTGGTCACTGTCTGGTGGYAGATTGAGAAGATTGCAGGAAATATTTAAATCAGGGCACCAGTGGAACAATGGAGCATCTCTTGTGCACTTGTCCCGCATTAGCAAGACAACGATGTAATCATCTGGACTTCAGACATTATGATATATTGGAGGAGGTATCGACAGTGAGGCCGCAGAGTCTGTTAAAATTTAATAAGGATATTAGCTCAATTACTTGGTTTGAAAATTTAATTTTACGGACGCTTCAAATAGTTATACCACTATTCCAAAGAAGTGGAGGTTTTCCTTTCTTCTGCTTCCAACGGCGATTTGATCTTTGTTCGTCGAGAACAACTCAGTCTGAAGTATCACTTTTTGAGTGAGAGTGGTTCTGTGTTGGATTGCGAGGCTGATGTTGTGGTTATTATTAATACTGGTTCCAAAATAGACGAAATTATTCACGACTCCGAAGTTATAACGCCAAGTCGCGGGTTGCCGTACACCAGCAGCTGTATACTCGTATAAAAGAGTATACCTTTCTGATTCAGCTGTACAGTTCGAATTATTTTCTCCAGCAGTAGTTTGAAAAGTTGAACGGTTCGGAAAGGTCTTTCTCGATTGTAACGTGCGTATTAGTTTTGCGGAGATACCAAATTTAGACATAGCGGCATAAAGGCAGCTCTTTTCATACAGTTAAAAGCAACTTTCAAATCGAAGAAAAGGTGGTGTGTGTTGATCTTCTTTTCACGTATTTAGCATAATAACCATTGCAAAGTCTAACTGCTATATGCTGTAGTGACCCGTTAATAAGTATTTCTTTATATATTGCGGAATTTTCTTGGAAAATAAACCTTTTATTCATTTTCTTGAAGATATCTTTTCAAATGTATATGTTTTCCATATAGGTACTTTACTCCGACCGCTAACATTGTATGGCAGCTAAATGCTATATAGGTTCGATATCGGCCTTTCCGAMGYRTTTAAAATTTTATCTCAAAAACTGAGGGCCTAAATTGACTCAGATCGTCRTGGTGATCATTGCTATATATACTATAAAAGTTAAGGTCTCCAAGGGTCTTTGCTAAGTGCAAAAATCTTTTCGGCAAATTTAAAAGCTGGCTATTCGAGTTTCACGCTATTTTTATATAGAATATATAGATATATTCTTGCTACATATCAGATAACAAATTATAAGTCTCTCACTGAACTTTGTTTATAAAATGAAAGTCAGCAAAATAAACAACTACACAAACACTTTATACAAGTATACTATACATATGTACTCGTAATTGTAATATGCAGATAACGTATAATTTATGGCACGTTATCAATATGACTACTATATACAACTGTGCAATTTTTTGTTTGCTTTTATGTAAATGCTAAATATTTTACAAAACGAAACGACAGTGATTGCTTAGACGCCAACTGGCGCTTACAACAACGGACGCGTATAWTTCAATTTCACTGAAACAAATTAGGACGCGCAAACTAATTTCATATACAAAATGGATTTATTTTTTGTAATATTTTCCACGCTTTTTTTGTTAATCATCAGCTATCTACGCCATAAATATCAATATTGGGAGCTACGTGATGTGCCTCAGCTGAAAATGAATTTTCTTTATGGAAACTTCTTCCGCATAAAAACCATACATAAAACAGAAATCTTCCACGAAGTCTATCAAAAGTTTCGTGGCACAACAAAGATTGTCGGTACATATATTTACACCAAACCAATTGCGATTGTACTCGATCTAGAACTGATTAAATCGATATTAATAAAGGATTTCAATAAATTCACCGATCGCGTAGAACGCGGCCATAACCAGACGAACTCATTAAACAACAATGTTTTTTCACTGCCCGGTGAAAAATGGCGTCCACTACGCATAAAGCTTTCACCGACTTTCACATCGGCGAAAATGAAGTTTATGTTTCCCACGCTATTGACGGTGGCGCAACAATTGGAAGACTCTTTCAGCGAACAGCTGTCCAAAACAACGAGTGGTGTTATTGAATTACACGATTTAATGGGTCGCTATACAACCGATGTGATTGGTTATTGTGTCTTCGGCATTGAATGCAATAGTTTGAAGGAACCGAATGTTGACTTTCGTCGCATAGGACACACAATTTTTTATCGGCAATATTACTCCATACGTTGGCGCACATTCATGCTCACTTATCCGATTATGTTTAAAATACTACAGTTCTTCAAGGTCAAACGTATACCCAACAATGTCGAAGACTTCATATATCATTTGGTGCGTGATACAGTACGTTATCGTGAAGAGCACAAGGCGGAGTGTAAAGATTTAATGAATCTATTAATTGAATTGAAAAATACAAAGGACTCGGAAGGTGTGCCTCTAATGAGTATTGACGAGCTGGCAGCGCAGGTGTTCATATTCTTTGCTGCCGGCTTTGAGACCAGTTCCAGTAATATGACTTATGGGCTATTTGAGTTGGCAAAGAATCAAAAAGTACAGGATAAGTTGAGAGCGGAAATTAAAACAGTGCTGAATAAACACAATGGCGAGTTGACATATGAAGCTATGAAAGAGATGACCTATTTGGATCAGGTTATAACTGGTAAGCACAAAGCGGGTCTCTACTTATACACTTAGGTTAGGTTAGGTTAATCTGGTAGGCCAAAAAGCCATGGATAGCCCAGTTTGGTTGTTTACGATAGCAGTTGGAGTACATTTGTTAAGTCCAAGAGAAGTGGTCATTGTTTAACATACAACAACAGACTTTGGGGCCTCTATGAGTTTTACGTGTACATGGCAAGCATTCATGTAATCCTGACGAACTGTATGTATCAACTTATATCATTAAAGTGGTTTATCAGTTAGATAAATTAATGTATAAATTAACTATAAAAAACTCGAAAATGCAAAAACAGGAGATCAAAGCATTTATAGTACATAGGTGTGTATACTTAATATCGTTTCATAATCAACTAAAAACGATCACAATAAAATGAAACAAATGTTCCTTCTCTTTTCAGAAACTCTCCGTAAATATCCAGCACTCGGTGCCATTACTCGTGTCTCTGTTGACGCATACAAAGTACCCGATACTAACATTACACTCGAAAAGGGCACAAACATCTTTATACCCGCCAAAGAGATACATTATGATCCGGATATCTATGACAATCCAAATGAGTTCCGCCCGGAGCGTTTCGATCCGGCGGAAATGGAAAAGCGTCATCCGCAAGCATTTCTCGGTTTCGGTGACGGACCACGTAATTGTATTGGTCTCCGTTTTGGACGTATGCAGGTGCGCGTTGGCTTGATAACTGTGCTCAAATCTTATCGCTTCAGCTTATCAGAAAAGACACCAACAAAATTGGAGATTTCTAAAGATCATATCGTGCTCGTGCCTTGTAGCAAAGTGTGGTTGAAGGCAGAAAAAATATAAAGCTAGCCGAATGTATTTAGTAATAGTATATTTTACTTTTATGTTTGTGGATTTGTATAATTCCTTTTAAGTAGTTTTCGACTCAGAGATTTGAGATTTATCAGTGCATATTGCTTGGCGAATATAAGAAGTATTTTTCGGGGATATCATTTGATTTCACTTCAGCTTGAAGTACTCGATAAATGATCTGTGCAATATGTATCTCTACTTGAAATTGTTAAATACACATATAGGTCTGTAGGTATATACTTAGTCCTGTCATAAGTCATAAGTTGCAAGTTAAAAGCGTTATAAAGATGTAACTATAATAAATTTTTAATACCGTTAGTTTGGTTTGTTAATACATGTAATAAATTAGCGACTCTCCAAATTTCYGRGGAGTTTYCGATAGCRCAATATCTCCAATTCTGACCACAAACTGTAGTCTAATGATTCAAATCTGCATTTCTAGAGGGTCAATCATCTACTACATGCAGTTATGATACCAGGAATATTGCTTCTAAGCCACTGTTGTGCGATTTTTGTATTGTACGCTGAAGAAGAATTTTGCTGGAAGACCCAATGCTCTCCTACAAAGGGACCTGCTTGTATACTGTTTCTTCAATTTGAACCTTTTATTGAGAGAAGTGTAAAAAAAATAAGAAAACCAGCAGAAAGACGGAAGCGACTTCTGTAAAGACAGAATTTTGAAATGAACAGTGCACGAAAGTAACGAAAGCAGTGCCGCGACGGGAATAAAATAATTCGCACCAACAATGTACAAAGACAGCATTGTTGTCCCGTCTTCAAAACGAAGTGAAAGCAGCTTTAAAGCGGCATCGAAACACCAAAACACCAGGGGCCGATGGATTACCGGCYAAGCTGTTAAGCAATTGCAAAGCATGATTTGGTTGTATAAATACATGCCCAAAGAGGGAAATATGATGGTACTCTGTCTTATTCACAAGAAGGGAGATTTCGAAGTCTGCGCATATTATCGCATAATCAGATTTCTTTACATTACATGTAAGATACAGATTGACATATAACATTTTTGTCATTTTCAAAGGGGCTTCGACAGCACAAACAGATAGGAGCTGTCTTTTCGACGCTATGTCTGTATTTGGTTTCCTAACGAAACTGAAGTTGACCACCACYATCAGCTCCGTTAAAATYGGGATGGACCTCTCYGAGCCGTTCASTGATTTTCWCTCATGCGCCTTCAWCAATATAATCTATTATCTACACAGATAATACTAAYATCGTAAAAATTAATAACAGCCGTCAGCGAAGGCTTTTCCAGTCTGGAAAAAGCAACGTAAAAAGTTGGTTTTGCACTGAACTAAGSCAAGAAAAAGTACCTGGAGGTCAAACACAAAGCTGTTGGCWGCTATAAATTTTAAAAATTKRAGCACATTGTATATCTCGGAACCAGCAGAAATTTTATCTATAACGTTTGCCTGGAGATCAAATGCAGAACAGCTCTTGTCAACAGGTGYTACTTCGGAATTGGTAAGCAAGAAGCAGCTTAGAAGCCGAACCGTTTCTCTATGTATAAGAATTACACTTTACAAATATTTAATTATTCTTTTCCTATTATACGGCGCAGAGACATGGACGAGGACAATGATAAGATCATGTCGTCGGCATAAAACATGAAGCTCCAGCAAAAAACTCCTTCAATTCTTGAAYATCGGAAGCAAGGGCACTTGAGATGTACAACAGCCGTGACTTTGCAAAGTATAGAGGCAACTAGCGAAGTTTTGTGTTTTCTGCTCACTATTGTAGTGTCAAGGTGTAATGCCCTTACAGCATAATCTTCATCAAACTATGACAGCAACTAAATAGTGGAGCCGTTGAACCTTTGGAATGGAATTGGTATTTTTTACTTAATTTTGTCGTTTTTTTTTAAGAACTTTATCAATTATATTCATTCATATGTAAAAAGGAAACTTTCATAGCCTGTGCCACTAACGAAACTGTTTACCTCTGTTCCATTTAATTTTTTCGAGCGCTTTATCGGAAGATGACCAAGGGTGTATCGTTACGTAATAGAAGAAATATTATAGGCACATCAAACTTTAACCGAAGACTATGTGACGGCGTGTGTATGGAGAGAATTTATATAGAAATTCAATTGGCACACTTGTGTTTTCATTATCATCAACAACAGCATCGATAGATTTTAGAGGCATTAGATCATCTGCCAATTCATTGATTTCGTCAAAATATCATTTATGATCCAAGTAACTCTATTTTGTATTTCCGGGGAAAATGCAGCCAATTAAATCATACAGTAATCAGCGTAAACCGATAATACATTTTGTTTTTTTTTTTTTTGAGCTGCCATTAATGGCTCACTGTTCGAAGGTATCAATGTTTACTCGGTGGCCATGAGATAAGGTGATGGCATGCCATTTTTATAATGTCGTAAATTTGCATTCGTATTATATAAATCTACGATCAACATTAATGTTTGATCATACATATATCTCAGACGTAAAACATATCTTTGCTCATTGCTCTCTTTGTATAAATCTCTAAAATACGCTTTCCGTCATATCATTGTTTCCCACAAAGCCGTTTTACACGCTTTTCTACATATTATTTCTCCACGACGCTCTGTTGTTCTTCATTTTGTGTTTTGCTTCTCTCTGTTATTTCTATTACCCATTGATAACACTACACAAAAAATCTGTAGGAAAAATTTGCGAGTGTTGTGCTAAGAAGTCTGTAAGATATTTGAGGAGCTCTAATTACGAATTTGAGTTTTGAGTTTGAGAAAATTCCCCAACATTTTAATAAATTATGCTGGTTTCATTTCGGCACCTTTTAACTGCTATACAATAAAAAAATTATATTTCTTAGTAAATTTGTACTATCATTTTCAGTTTTATCAACCCATAATTAACAAAGAAAAAACATCACAATGCTTAACTGATTATTGAGTTTTATTAAAGTAGCCGATTTCTGAAGGCGCTTTTGGTATTGCTCAACGTCAGTTTACACAGCCGTATTAATGTTGCTGGGATACCAAATTCGGACAAAACGGTTTAAAGGTGCGCCAACTCTTGGTGTTATATTTTTACAGTCATTCAGCGGAAGTGTTCCCTCCACAATTTCAGTATGCTCTGCACATCAGTTACTACATCATCTCTGGGGCTCTACAGGAGTATACACCGTTTTTGAAACCTTCTTCGTTTTTTGTCTGCAAATGCGTCTCGCTGGAGTCATGTGTAAAAGTTCACGCAACTGAGGAAATTTTCTGTTTGACATTCACTTGGGAGTGGCTTGAAACGATTATATTACATATGGCTCAAGCAGCTCACTACTTCCATACGTTTGAAAGTGAGCTAAAGTGAGAATACGAATCATCCCTCGACAGGGTTGYGCGCTGGGTTTGGTACCCGCCACGTAAAAAATACCTCCATGAAAAACAATAAATAGCCTCGGAAGTGATAGACCACAAACTAATCAATCTATAAATTTATATTAATTTCGTGGTCGGGTTTAGCTGATTTGACTACCATCATAATTTTGTCACACTTCCAATGAATAGGGAGGTGATTGAAATTTTTTGTTTGGGAGAAAACGAAAGATCCCTCGCCAGTGTTGTGCGAGGGGTTTGCGACCCGCCACGTAAAAATCGAAATTCAAAAAATTCAACAGCATTGTTGCAACCACTAACCCCAAAAGCTACGAAAGTTGCTTCCAGTACTGCCTTTAAGAGATATGCAAGGTCAGGGCTATATAGTGGATGCATTAAAACTTCCCAGTCAAGCTTTTGTAATTTTTGCAGAGTCATCAAGGATGTGTGTKGTTTTGCGTTTTCCTGATGGAAGACGAAGCCCTTTCTGTTGATCAGTTGTGGCCATTATTTTCGATTGCTTGCTTCAATCTCATGAGTTGTTGACAGTAAAATATACAATCAATCGTTCGACCAGATTGGATTAGCTCATAGTGGATGATTCCTTTCTAGTCCTACCAAACACTCAGTCCAACCTTTCGGGGCGTCAATACTGGTTTTACGGCCATTTGTTGAGCTTCACTACGCTTGGATCATGACTTTTTTCGCACATTATTGTCGTATTTGATTTATTTTTCATCTCCTGTTACCATTCGTTTCAGAAATGATTCAATTTCACTACGTTTCAGCAAAGAATAGCAGATGTCAATTCGGTCCAATAAATTTTTCACCGACAATTCATGTGGTATGCAAACATCGAGCTGCAATGTGCGTATGTGATAGTCCTGGTCAAACTTTTCCCATAATTTTATCGACGTTTTCAACGACCATTTTTATGCTACTCGAACTTATATAGCACCGTCTCCGTAAGCTTCACAAATTGCATTGGTGGCTAGCGTGCCATTTTTTCAAAATACAACGAATTTCCTCTGAATTTTCACTAATTTATGAACAGCTGTATCTTTTTTTAGCTTCCCCGAATTTAATTTTTTTTGGTTAAATGAAGCTTAAATCTCACCTTTTCAATACTATATGGTATGACACAAAATACGAAACGACTTTTTCGACTACATAATATATTATTAATTATTATTGAAACCAATGAGTTCTCAATTCAATTCTGTCCATCTAAATCTTGTTGCACTTTATACCATTCTCTTCACAAATTTTAGTGGTTTTTAGGAAGATACGAGTAGCAGACATTTAGTTTCATTAACCGTTCTCTCACGTACTGTATATTCAAGATCTTACTAATCCAGACCATTACTAAGCACATTATTTTTTCTTTCTTTACTGGCGCAGACACCGCTTACGCAGTTATTGCCGAGTTATGCTATCGTAGACATAATTAGACAGCATAACCTCACGACAAGAAATGCTACAGTCAATCTTATCAATGCGATAACAATGCCATACAAAAATATCATCCAAAGTACAATGCACTAAGGCAGCTGACACTGATTTTTTTGTATAAATAGTTACTGAGTGAACCTCAACAACATTAGTATATAAAATGCCGACCATGCGTAACATATTTCGGTAAAAAAAAATTTTAAGAAAAAAATTAACGAAAAATTTGACGGAAACTAAAAAAAAAAACCGCGGAAAATATTACTAAATGAGAGTGTCGTTTTAACAGCCATTTAAACCGGAAAACGAATGTTTCAATATGGATTTCTACTTTATTATATTTTCCACAATCTTGACGCTGCTGCTCAGCTATCTACGCTACAAATATCAATATTGGGAGCTRCTTGGCGTACCTCAGCTCAAGATGAATTATTTTCTTGGCAATCTCTTTCGAATAAAAACAATACATAAAACGGAACTRTTACATGAAGTTTATAAAGAGTTTCGTGGCAAAGCAAAATTGGTCGGYACATACGTTTTTACCAAACCTATAGCCGTTGCGCTGGACTTAGACTTGGTGAAGTCCATATTAATTAAAGATTTCAATAAATTCACCGATCGTTTCGAACAACGAAACAGCAGTGAGAGCATTATTAATCATCACCTGTTTCGTTTGGATGGCGAAAGGTGGCGTCCATTGCGCGCGAAACTCACACCGACCTTCACATCGGCGAAAATGAAGTWTATGTTTCCCACGCTRTTGACGGTGGCASAACAATTGGAGGAGGCTTTTAGCAAACAGTTGACCAAAACATCGAATGGTGATGTCGAATTACACGATTTAATGGGTCGCTATACAACCGATGTGATTGGTCATTGTGCCTTCGGTGTTGAATGCAATAGCTTGAAGGATCCAAATGTGGTATTTCGTCGCATGGGTCGTCGCATTTTTTATCCAAAATATTTCTCCATACGTCTACGTACATTTATGACTTCATATCCCGCTCTCTTTAAATATCTGAAATTTTTCAATATCAAAGAACATCCGAAAGATGTCGAAGATTTTGTGGTGCAGCTTGTGCGTGATACACTGCGTTTGCGCGAGGAACAAAACATACAGCGTAACGACTTCATAGATTTGTTAATTGAGTTGAAAAATTCCAAAGACACGAAAGGTATGCCTGCACTGGGTATTGAAGAGATGGCTGCACAGGTGTATATTTTCTTTGCTGCTGGCTATGAGACCAGTTCTAGTAACTTGAGTTATGGGCTATATGAATTGGCGAAGAATCCGCACGTACAGGAGAAGTTGAGAGCGGAAATTAAAAGCGTTCTTRAGAAACATAATGGCGAGTTGACATATGAAGCCATGATGGAGATGACATATTTGGATCAAGTTATAACGGGTAAGCTGACCAGTTGAAATATTGGCTATGCAATCATGCACATCTTTTTCAAAGTGAAAACTATAGATATCGCACCCACATATGATAGATATGTCAACTTAATTATTATTTAATTAAAGTAAATCTAGTTAGTAATTTAAAAATCATGCTTGTGTGTTTCCTTTATAGAGACYCTACGTATGTATCCAGCACTTGGCGCTCTCAATCGTGTCTCCATTGACGACTACAAAATACCCGATACGAATATCACACTTGAAAAGGGCACACGCATCTACATTCCTGTGAAAGAGATACATTATGATCCTGCTATCTATAATAATCCCAAGGAATTCCGCCCGGAGCGCTTCCATCCCGATGAAGTGCAAAAACGTCACCCACWGGCTTTTCTCGGTTTCGGTGATGGACCTCGTAATTGTATTGGTCTTCGCTTTGGACGTATGCAAGTGCGCGTTGGCTTCATAACTCTRCTMAAATCTTATCGCTTCAGCTTATCGGAGAAGACACCAAAAGAATTGGAGATTTCTAAATATAGTATAGTGCTTGTACCGCACAGCAAAGTGTGGTTAAAGGCAGAAAAGCTGTAAAGATTAAACTTGTAGCGACACACAGTTATGCTTATTTCATGGTCAACGAAGTGGAGCAATATTTGTATCGAAGTAGAATTAAAGAGCTTCAATAAATGGTGCCATATAAGAATATCTGCAGAAGAAAGTCGGCTTTTTTATTTTATGTCAAAAGTAATAAGATTCTTAGGCAAACTATGAAAAAGTGATTTAAGTGAAATTATTTAAYATTTTGTGAAAACACTACAGTCTACATGGGCCGTATCGATCAAACTTCTGGGAAATATTTTTCTCTTCTTTCACAGCATCTCGTCTATTGGTTACTTTGGAAACTACTCAAAGTGTGATAACACACTAAGTAAATGCATCAGAGACTTTTAGCACCCGACACCCGACGTGATACGAAAAAATTTCATAAAACCCGACATTAAAATTCGAAAATATTTAAGAGAAAATCTGTTTGGATGATAATATGACATGAAGACAAGAACTTATCACATTTATTCAATACTTGCCTTTGCTAATCTAATACTTTGTCGCTAGCGGTTAATAACCTATCCTTAAAAAAMAAAAAACAAGCAACCATTTGCTTTGCTTTGGAGTGTTTCTCATCTGGCTCATCTGGAACCATCGATACAGACAACTGTTGTTTACTTTCGGACTCGTGACGTGTTTCGAAATACAATTATCTTATATTTTAGTCACTTCTCTCTATAAATATAAATTGACACCAGTCTGTTTTYMAMMAAWTKKYKTTWWYCMAWTKRMAAWWTTTTTTTATAGTCAAATGTTCATGCAGTATTGAATCTATCCTAATTCCATTAATGGTTTTAGTTGTCTCAGTCTGACGGTAGGTCACATRACGATCTTGCAATATGATTTTGCGCGCAGCACGAGAAGTCTCCGGAACAGCAATTGATTTTCGACGACCTACACAAAATTCGTCTTGGAGTGATCYWTGACGTCCAYTGAATTGACTATTCCATCGATAGACATTAGAGCTTAAGGTCATCTATGCACTCTTAATGAGTTAATCCAAGTCTAAAGTTACATTCCTTAGTTTTTATTTTTTGGAAATTACAATATATGTTTCAAATGTTTGCCACGGATACGTCTCAAATGGTAAAACCACTTTTCAAAGACTCTTACGAGCATTTCGAAGCGGGATAGTCCGCATAAAACTTAGACTTTACATCCCCACAGGAAAAAGTATTGAATCTCTTCTCTCTGCTTGTTTACATACCCTTTTAGCATGAAGTCCGCTTCATCGCTRAAAAAAATTTGTCTCGTTAACGTTAGATTTAGTTGGAACWTATCAAGAGTCCATAGCAGGAACCGATGTCGCTTGGGAAAGTCGAGCAGCTTCAGTTCTTGCACAAGGTACGCTTTCAATTTAAGTACGCTTAGTAGGCCGATTACGTTGATCATAAGTTGAGCGAACAGCGCAAAACACATTCTTTACAAAACGTGAATTTTCGTAATAAAGTTGAATAATTTTTAAACGCTGCTCAAAACTGAGTTTTTCCTTGATTCCTTGAAATCCGAAACAATACTAAACAAAAATAATATGAAAGCATTTCAAATAACTTCTTTAGTCCTCAAAACACTTTCAATAAGCACTTATTGGGTTGCTTTTTGCGTTATCTCTTCGATCGGCAGAAAACTAGTCCCAGTTTCAGTTTGGTAACAAGAAAAGAATCACTCGGAAGTTTCGAGCGTTACCCTTGTCGGCCAGCTTGTCAAGCTCTTCATACTCACGCATTTCGGCCTCTCTCTTTTTTGTCTGCAAATGCGTCGATTGTAACATTGCAAGGTAGGGTGTTTTCTTCCCGCTGCGACACATCACTCCTCGCCATACCAGCTGTTCTTCAGCTTTTTCCGAAAGCCAATGGTTTCGTTTGCAGCAGTATATCTTCTTTACTGGCGTAGACACCGCTTATAGCCGAGTTAACAACAGCGCGCCAGTCGTTATTCTTTTCGCTACGTGGCGCCAATTGGAYATTCTAAGCGAAGCCAGGTCCTCCAACGGAGTRGAGGTCTTCCTCTTCCTCTRCTTCCCCCRGCGTTTACTCCGTSGAATACTTTCAGAGCTRGAGTRTTTTCGTMYATTCGCACAACATGACGTAGCCAGCGTAGCCGCTGTCTTTTAATTCTATGTCAATGTCGGTGGATGGAATCATGTGTAAAAGTTCAAGCAAGTGMGGATAGTTCTCTTATCGCTATTCACTTTGGAGTGGCCAGAAAAGATTATTTTACATATGGCTCAAGCAGCTCACGAATTCCGGTCTTTGACTAAGTATCCTCTGGGTAGCCTAAGAGCATCCGATTGAATGCGAGTTAAAATGAGAAGGGGAGCAACCCCTCCACAGGGTTGTGCGCTCGATTTGGGACACGCCACGTAAAACACGATACCAATGAAAAAGCGTAAACAGTCTCGGGTGAGACACCCCCCATTTACAGTTGTATATAAGGAGCTTGAAATGCCGTCTCTCAGTTTCCTTACACCGAGTGGCTAATGTGTGCTCTCAGAAAGCAGGAGTACAAGTCAAGTAGAAACCCGTTCAGCTGTTTGTTCTTGGCCAAAACAAACTGTAAACACCGGAGACGTGTCTTCCGTCTATCACAACATGATCGATTTTGGTTGGTGGCTTTCCGATCCGTAGGCAGCCAGGTTATAGCTTAGAGAATTCTGCTATACTRGATTCTAGTACTACAGATAACTATATTTCGGGCTCCGGCCAACCTCCCTTGCTCACCCTGGCGTTAAAATCGCCAAGCAAGATTTTGAAATCGTGGCGGGAGCAGTGATAGTACTCGGCCATTCCGATGTTTAATGACTMGTTTGCATATCAAACTCGTAAATCTATGTCTCATCTGCTGTTATAATGCGCTCCATGAATATGGGATCGGAAATCGCTTGATTAGGCATGCCCAAAGAGACCTCTCTACCGAACTCTTTTTAGAGAAAATTCAGCTTTATCGGGACGAATCGAGGAAGAACTCATCGACTTTCAGCACTTGAAAAGGTCGAAGATTGTTCAAAGTCAGGCATGTCTTCAACGATCTCTAGACCGTGTTTGCAGGCTTTGTACCACTGGTAGGCTTGAATCTWCGATAAAACTGAATCACCATAAGCCTTTGCGAACACTTGCAATGTTCGTGTGCAAAATTTAGTTAAAAATACAAAATTAGAGACTAAATCTTTGTTCAAATTTTTATGTATTGTAAGAATTGCAAAGCACTAATGAGGTGCACCAACATAMGCARCATTTGCTTTTACTTTTTYATCACAATGCAAGTATAGTATATCAACGTAAAGAAAAAGTTAGATAAATTTTCTTTATACATAGTTTTATGCAAACTAAAATTGAATTATCTTTAAAACAAAATAACAGAAATATTTAGACTTGAAATTTTAATGATGTACTAATATTTGCACGCGCTCTATTCACTGTCTATACTTTAAAATGTTCACTCAAACGCGAATAAAATATTAGGTCTGCAATAAGAGGACTCCTACTTCATATTCAAGTATGATCCGTTCCTTTGGCTRATGCTGTCAAATTGAAAGGTGAATTTAGTTCATTTCATCTCCTTCAAAGTAATCCACTCTCGCTGCAATACACTTATGMCAACGAATTTTTCCGTCACCGTAGCACACATCAAAATCCTCCTTCGTGRTGGCCAACAGAGTCTTCTCCAAATCATCTTTTATACAAGCAATTGAGTCAAAACGGTGTCCTCAGACTGGTCATGTGAATTTGCTGAATAGCCAGAAGTTACATGAAGGTAAATCAGGCGAATGCGGTGGTTGCGGCTGTATCTCAAATAATGATGAATATTTTGACGTGAGCATAGCATAGATGTTACTAACAGTRCTACCAACTTATAGAAAAAAATATACCAATTTGAAACACACGCGAAGTATAAATTAAAAATTATATTTGATCAAAGTTGTATGTCTTCAAATGAGCGGCAAAGAACAATTTTGAATCACTTGGAATCAGCTTATACGTAATTTGCTTATAGGCTTTCAGTTCACAGGCAATTAATGAAATTGAACCATACTCATAGTTGTATGATTGAAATGTTGATCGATTTATTTTCATAAACTGCTTCTCTCGTTTACTTGCCGTACACATATAAATTTGTATACATCATTCGATGCTCCCACTTAAGTCTCAGTTCATATCCTTATACCGAAGTATGTCTCACATGACTTGAATCAATACTACAGTACTCGAGTAAATTTGGTTATACTCGTATTTTAACCGCATTCGTATATTGGTTTGATTTAGACAACTGTCGCAATGCTTTGCGCTGGTAAGATTTTACTTAAAGCGAAGCTCATACCATTTACTCGCTCGTGTTTGCCGATTGTCCACATTGCATTAAACCTATATACGCTGGTCGGTACTCGGCTCATCAACAAAGAAGTGTATGATCTGCCGAATTGATTTCATTGTTTTTGCATCACGAGTATTTGATCTGACTCAATCATACATGGACCAAAATCGTTGTAAATCTAATTTTACCTGAACCCTTACACATTAGCRGTTTGATGTTTTTTTCATGGAGGGATTTGTCTTTAACACGAAAAATTTGAATTTTTATATTCAAAAATTCCGCGCATACCTGGTTCCAGCTTCTTTGGTTACATCAATTGCGAAAGATTACAAAAAAATATTGCTACATTTTACGGATATAATCATTGTAACATCTTTCTTTAAGAACTCTGAATGACCAAATGTCACACAGGTTCCTTGAAATAATCATCAAAAGGAAATTACTCATAGCACTCATATGGAATCTARCATTATCATCTTGACCTACATACGTTGTAAATTAAATACTGCTAAAATAATAACTTAGAAAAATTACTACTTATCCTTTGAAACCAGCAAGTTAATCAATACTCAATTATCTTAATACATTCCCCTACAAAAATGTTCACGCTTTTGATTAATGCTTCCTTCAATAGCCCAATAGCTCTATACCTACAACGCTTAGATGAAAAACTTGACTAAACCAACCTAATACTGAACATACTCGTACTGTCATATCGGATAGTTAATAACATAGGATAACTTAATAACAATAAAAAAATGTTACAACGTCTCTTATCAGTGTAATAGGGAATACATTGTAAATATTTCTAGGCAAATATTAATCAAAGTGCACTGCAAAAATACAGGTCAGACTAATTKTCTCGTATAAATAGTTACTGAGTGGACCCAGATCACATTACTCAATATATATGTCGGTAACAAAATTTTATGTGAGAAAATCAAGAACTGAAATGTAAAACTTTAAAAATAATCACAGAAATTTAAACAAGATATAAAAATTATAAATGTGGGATGGCATYCCTGGCAGAAAGGGAAAATAAGAAAAGGGACAGTAAGRAAAGGACAGCGTAGGTTGCTCTGATCGCGATGAGCTAAAGCAAGAAGAGTTAGAAGTCGGTCACCAAACTGAACAGACGTGCGCAGCAAGTAAATAAAAAGGTTGAGAACTAAAAGTGAATAAAGCAAGAAGAATTGTATTGTGAAAGTGAAAYTACTTACATTTTATAACTGAATTTAGAGACTRTATTGTGTRAATGAAGTGTACTTAAYTSTTATAATTAAAGAAGTGGATTAACAAACTTGTGTACTTATTTCGAAATTGGTGAATGCAATAGGGTACGAACCCCACATAAATATATGAAAAATTGGTAAAAAAAAAAGATCTTTCAAAATGCATTTTTACTTCATTATTTTCTCAACAATCTTCGCGCTATTGATCAGCTATCTACGCTACAAATATCAATATTGGGAGCTGCTTGGCGTACCTCAGCTCAAGATGAATTATTTTTTTGGAAACCTCTCCCGCATAAAAACCATACATAAGACGGAACTTTTACACGAAGCGTATCAGGAGTTTCGCGGTAAAGCAAAATTGGTCGGCACATACATTTTCACCAAACCCATAATCATTGCACTCGACTTAGACATCGTGAAGTCCGTGCTAATCAAAGATTTCAATAAATTCACCGATCGYTTCGAACAACGTAAGACAGTGGTCAACGTTGTTCATCAGCATCTATTTCGTGTGGAAGGCACAAGGTGGCGTCCATTGCGCACGAAACTCACACCGACTTTCACATCGGCGAAAATGAAGTATATGTTTCCCACGCTACTGACGGTGGCACAACAATTGGGGGAGGCTTTCAGCAAACAGTTGACCAAAACATCGAGTGATGAAGTAGAAMTGCACGATTTGATGAGTCGCTTTACAACCGATGTGATTGGTCATTGTGCCTTCGGTGTTGAATGCAATAGCTTGAACGATCCGAATGTGGTATTTCGACGCATAGGACAACGCATTTTCTATCCAGATTTTGTATCCRTACGTCTACGTACATTTATGYTGACATATCCCGCTATCTTCAAATATCTGAAATTTTTCGATATCAAAGAAGTTCCGTCAGACATTGAAGAGTTCATATTGAAGCTGGTATGTGATACAGTGCGTTTGCGTGAAGAACAAAACATACAGCGTAATGACTTCATAGATTTATTGATTGAGTTGAAAAACTCCAAAGATACGAAAGGCGTACCTCTAATGGGTATTGACGARATGGCGGCACAAGTATACATCTTTTTTCTTGCTGGTTATGAKACCAGTTCTAGTAATTTGAGTTATGGGCTGTATGAATTGGCGAAGAATCCCCACGTGCAAGAGAAGGCGAGGGCGGAAATTTTTAGAGTTTTAAAGAAACATAATGACGAGTTGACATATGAGGCTATGATGGAGATGACATATTTGGATCAAATTATAACWGGTAAGCTGACGATTTGAAATTTTTTCTATGAAACAATTAATGGACTGAAAAATATCAATTTCGCATACCTCTTCTAAGCAACATGTTTTTCTGAAAGATGAATATATGGCTCTTCTAAAATATAAATATTCGAACTAATTTATTAACCGCTATTGAAAAAGTTTCTTATGTATTTCGCTTTCAGAGGCTCTACGTATGTATCCAGCACTCRGTGCTCTCAATCGCGTTTCAGTTGATAAATTCAAAGTACCTGACACAGATATCACACTTGAAAAGGGCACACATATCTACATTCCTGTGAAAGAAATACATTATGATCCAGATATCTATGATAATCYCAAGGAATTTCGCCCGGAGCGCTTCCATCCCGATGAAGTGCAAAAGCGTCACCCACAGGCTTTTCTCGGTTTCGGTGATGGGCCTCGTAATTGYATTGGTATTCGCTTTGGACGTATGCAAGTGCGCGTTGGCTTCATAACTCTACTCAAATCTTATCGCTTCAGCTTATCAGAGAGAACACCAACAGAATTAGAAATTTCTAAATTTAGTAGAGTCCTTGTACCGCATAGCAAAATATGGCTAAAGGCCGAAAAATTATAAAAATAAAAATCGTTGAAATGTGAGGCTTGAATAAATCATACTTATCAATTTTTTTTCTACGAGAAAATGATTTTACTTATTTTACTACAAACATTTAACTGTTAGGATATATTATGTTAAATGGTAGACTCCTATGAATTGATTATAAAACTTCCCACAAAATACCACATAACTTTTATCCGATCCCAATGTCGTTAAAGCGGCTACGTCTGATGATTCGCCGAAGGTACATATGTCTGCCGAGATGTTTCAACCTCAATCTGCAAAATGTGAGCAATGGAGTAGAAATCATCTGGGTATTTACACCTAACCTTCGGAATTTTTCGTGAAATATCGATTATTTGTAATATGTACAGCAGCAAGAGCTACTTAACCACCCAGCTATACAATTATGCAGTTTTCACTTATTTTCGTAGCCATTTTAATAAATGAGTACTGATGTTCAGATATAAAAAAAAGTTTTTACTGTGATTAGACATCTAATATCCGTATATGCATAAATTTGCATGTACATATTTTTCTATTTAAGCGTTTGTACGAGATTGTTCTACGGATYACTCTGAACAACTTTTCTTAAGAGACTATGGATCTACTGCTTCAATCCATCAGAGTTCCGAAGAAAATGAGTTCATACGCCATCTTGCGCAAGAATTGGAGCTGTGCCGATCCATTTCATGGAAGATTTTGTGGAAGAATCTTGCCTTACGGGTCATGTGAAAATTTAAGCCGAACAACAAACCAATCTGGCTCATATTCGGCYAGTGACCCCTACTTTCASAAGAAAATTTTGAGACGCCGTTRCGATCCATATTTCTTTACAGTCAACTCGAATTACCGATTAATTACTTTTTCGAGCTTGAATTCGAGGATGTTGTTGTTAGCGATCTTTGACCTTTAATGGTATCCGATTTAATACTATTAGCGCACGAATATAGTGTGCGGTAAGAGGAAGTCAGTTGTGTCTGATATCGAAAATCACGCTAGTTGGTGGGAATTTCATCAAACCTGTCGTGGCCACAAACCGTTTCTTTTTTATTAAAGCTAAATTCCTGACCATGCAATATATATTCAAGTGGTTTTATTGAAACTCAGACCGSATTTTCTAAAACTTGTTTAATAATTGCTGTACAAAAATATGCATATACCCTCAAAATAACCGAACCTTCGAATGAGCCAAATGAGCAATGGACCATCACAACTTGGCAAGTAGACTAGTTTCTATAGAAAGTCCAGATGGTGCGAGAAAGGGCGTCTAGCTAAGGCAGATACTTTGCATATAGCATGGTGGGAAAGGGTGTATATCTACATCAACCATTGCTGATGAGGTACCTGCCGCTAGGCACAAAGCGCTACTGATAAAGAATACCCGATAAATAAACTTTAATATCCGTACAGTGCTCGAAAATTCTACGCAAAAAWGCGGCGGCTTACAGAATTTTTCAAGAYCGGAGCATACTCTTGTAGAACCCCCAAAGGTGAACACCAGCCTGCTGAATGGCAGTGAACGTACAGCGCCAGGAGAAGGCAAACCCRATTATTCAATCGAKGACGATAGAGCAGACGTTCCATTGCCCGACCATGACGAGTTCGTATAGCAATTACCTGCCTGAAGAACAACAAAGTGGCGGGGGGAGATGGATTGCCGGACGAGCTATTCAAACACGGCGGCGAAGAACTGATAAGGAGCATGCATCAGCTTTTTGTAAAAAAGAGCTTGAAAGCAAGTCCAACGATTGGAATTTAAGTGTGCTATGCCCAATCCACAAAATAGGAAACCCCACAATCTGCGCCAACTACCGCATTAGCCTCCTCAATATCGCATATAAGGTTCTATCGAGCGTATTGTGTGAAAGATTAAAGCCCACCGTCAACAAACTGATTAGACCTTATCAGTGYGGCTTTHGACCTGGCAAATCAACAATCGACCAGATGTTCACAATGCGCCAAATCTTGGAAAAGACCAATGAAAAGAGAATCGACACACACCACCTCTTCGTCGGTTTCCAAGCTGCTTTCGACAGCACGAAAAGTTCTGCGAAAGATCTACGGTCCTTTGCGCGTTGGCCACGGCGAATATCGCATTCAATGGAACGATGGGCTGTATAAGATATACGACGACATTAACATAGTTGACCGAATWAAAAAACAGCGGCTACGCTGGCTAGGTCATGTTTCCCGAATGGACGAAAACATTCCAGCTCTGAAAGTATTCGACGCTGCACCCGCCGKGGGAAGCMGAGGATGGGGACGACCTCCACTCCGTTGGAAGGACCAGGTGGAGAAAAACCTGGCTACTCTTGGAATATTCAGTTGAAAAGAAGAAACGACTGGCGCGCTGTTGTTAACTCGGCTATAATCGCRTAAGCGGTGTCTASCAGMTGTGTCTCCTCTGCTGTAAAGGGAACAGTTTATAGTAATTGCAGTGCTACAGCCCGCTTTAAGCAATAGATGRTAAAGCATTGAAAGCGTAAATACAATRGAAAAGAAGCTCAGCTACGCTCTCCGGGAGAGGCCAAAGGTGCTATGTCGGCTATAAAGACTAGACTGAAAAAGCGAAACTCAGTAAAAAGAAGTTTAAAGCAAAAGTGACCTACAAAGCAGCAGTGAAAACTTCAACCGGACGAAGGGGGAAGAGGAAAGATTGGCTCAGGCTACAGCAAGAATAAAAGAAGACTGGAAATATTACGCATCGAGGCCGCAATGCACATCCTCCGGTTTTTAAACCGGATCAAGGAAGGAATTGCACCCAAAAGACAGGGGTTGGTTGAAAATTAAGCAACGGTGTTGGCGAAACGACTGAGGAAAAAGGACGACGTTGTTAAGCTAAACGTCAGACTGGATAGAGTGCAACCCTCAACGTTTAGGGAGGCAGCGGTGGCCAGCTCCTTTAGACAAATCCCAGGGGAGAAATGAAGAACGGTGGAGATGAAACCGCTTGACGCATTTTTTGACAGACTTGATGGAACGTCTATTCTAACTTTCGATGGCGCGGACTGGCTCCACGGGGCCAAGATATTAAAATGTAAGGAYAAGCGAAACGGTTGCGAAATTCAAAGCTTGTGCGATGGAGCCATTATGGAAATAGTGGACCGCAGTTGCATTCTATCCACATCGAAGGCGAAGTTTCTCTTACCTCGCATGSTAAAACCAAAGGATACTCTGCGGCTTCTCATGAGACAAAGTCTTCATGTGCCGACATAAGATTGGAGGGTCCTGAAGATTACCAACTCCGGCAAAAAGGACAACAGCCAAAACTACATCCTTAAAGTTAACGAATCGGCCGAACAAACGGTTCGGAAAGATGGCAAGGGGCGCAGGTAGCGTGTACCTTCATCTCAAGAAGCGCAACCCAGTCGAAAAAACGAAAACTTGCTAGAGATGCGAGAGGTGAAAACGAAGGGAGAAATGAAAAGACACATTAAAGCTCCATGAAGCAGATAAGGGTGAGCCGGAGGCTGAACCCGACCTCGTGAAGAAACCCGAACGAGAGAGTTAAGATTCTTCAAATAAATCTGCATAAAAGTAGAATAGTCTCTGAATCTTAAGAGAATTGGCTTTAGAATATGAGGCTTTAGTTCAAGAGCCAAGAACGGAATGGGGGTAGCGTTTATTTCAAGGAAAGAGGTGAGTCGTTGCGTAACTGTTTAATGACAAGTAACATAGCTGCAACTAACCGGGGTATTAACAAACATTTATTGGACCTACCTAGAATAATGTTATTGATGCCACAATGCACACTAAAAAAAACCTCACGGTGGAGGATTGGGAGACACTATGTAAACCCTCGTTTTCTACTAGATTTGAAGTAGAACTTCCAGTCCTCAATAATAGTGTAATTTTCAGAAGTTCTAGAAATACTAAGCGGGATCTAATAGGAAGATATTAATAGGGWATTTAATGAAACTAGTTGACTRCTTCAYCTCAAACTAAACTAAACCTCTATCTGGCATTATTAAGGGCTAGTGGTAACGTAAACTAATTAAAAAAAAATGCACATTAAATTATATTTCAACTATTCGATAAAATACATTGGATTCGATACAACAACCAGCGTATGGATAGACTTTTTTTATGTAGTTTACAGGAATGATCTTCAACATCTCGAAATATCATCATCTAATGTTTCTTTCATATAGGTTTTCCGTTTTGAAATTAATAAATAGTCACATTGTCATAGGTCGGGTAAATTTCGGATTTTTTAGGACACACCTTATACTCAATATTTTTCCTCCTTTGCGCTTCTTCAATTGCGAGGGTATACAAAGATTRCACACGATATGATAAGACGAACTTTGATTCAAAGTAATATAACACGTTACCTCTGCCGTTCACAACAAGAATTTAAGGTGACTATCCACTCAAGTGACTCCCAGAGAAATATTGACACAGTAAAGGTAATAAGTAAGTGAATATGCCTACATGGTCCAAGTCCCTGAAAAAGTCATAAAAACATTCACAGATAGGCCTGAACAAACTTAATAACTTAGTAAATAAATACGACAACATTGTGAAAATAATTAAATAAACATACTCAATTATCTTTTTGCAAACGGCAAGATAAGATAACCAGCTTCCMATTTTGATTAAAGTCTATTGTGATATCGCTCAGATTTTATAATACTTGCAAGTTTATGAACTGTACACCTAATAAAATAATGAATTATATATTATTTACCTGAAAGATATCAATCTTACTAAATCGTCAGTCAGCTAAACAAATAAAGGAAGAAAAGAGGGATAAAATTCGRATGTAACCGAATATTTAGGTTTCTTAAGTACTGACCGGTATACAAAGTATATGCCGCGTATGGAAGCCATTGAGCCAATTTAAGCTCTTTTTGCTAAGAGGACCAGGTATTATCATGTGAGCAGAAAGCCTTTCTGTTTTTCTTCCGCCTTTGCCCATGATCGTGGCGAGCCTGCATGCCCATGCTAGAAAGGTCGCCTGAGATCTAGCTCAGCGCAATAGAACTCAGAGCTCATTTCAAAGGCCATATTTGATACGTCTGTGTAGATGTTKAAAGTTCCGTTGGTGGGTCA